ACGACGAAGCCAATTAATTTAGCATTAAGCCGCTTTATGCAAACACCGGAAATTGCCGCAGTTCTGCTCCAAATCCATTAATCTCTCGCCATTTCATTCTTCGTTTTTTTTTTGTACTCTCGAAACGGAGGAGGTGTTCCGGGATTATTCTTCCATTTTGTTTGTACTTCAGAATAGAGAATTTATTAGCTCTGTGTCTCTGATCATAAAGTTGTCAACGACAGTCGTAAACGTTTTCGTTACTAATTCAAAGAGCTACAAATGCTTAAAATATGTGAAATTAGCAACACGATGAAAGCCGTCTTCATTCCAAACTCTTGAAAAATCTTTCTATCGTAATAAACGCGTAGATGTGTATGGAAATGTTGAATATTTGCGCGAAATTAAAACACCTTTTTTTATGGCGAAACTTTAAATGAGAAATATTTTATTACCTCACTCTTTCACTTTGCAATAAATTTACTTTATTTTTTATTAACAAAGACATTTCAATAAAATTCTCATTATAAGAGAACATCAAGAAAAGCAATTCGGTTTGAATCTAAAATTATTTTTTTATAAATTATATAAAAAAAAATATAAAATTTAGTTTCGTATTACTTTTTTTACATAATTATATTTTTTTTATAACAAAAATTTCCAATATTTTCATAAAAAAGAAATGAAACTAAAAATTGGAATCAAAGAAGCTCATAAATTTATATATTGAAATTTAATTTCAGCATAATATATAATATTAATTTTAGTTAGGTTTTCGTTTAATTTCACAAAGTAAGTTGTTATAGTTATCCTACTTTAGATATTAGATAGATATTATTATTCTGCGAGCGAAGTTTTATTGGTAGAAAACAAAGTGTATTTCTTTCGATATTAATTAGAGGCAAAGCGAAACACGGGGAATGGAATGCTTTTAGTAAAGTACACAGGATGCAGGAAAAATAACTTTAATGAAACTTGCGCGTCGAGCTTCAAGTAAATTAGGATTAGAACACTTACGAAACTTTTCCTATATTACTTCTGTTATTATTTTATTTATTTTTTTTGTTTTACTTTTCTCCTGTGCTTAGTTTTGATAAAACTTTGTATTTTTTCTGACACAACAACTTTTTTCTTGCAGGTTTCATAAAGTAATTAATAACTAGTTTCATTAACACTAGATAATTATATATTAATATAGAGAATATATTGAATACTGTAAATTTCTTAATAATTGAACAAAAAAAAAGTCATCCCATTCAAGTATTTTCCGTTGCTTAACTATAACAAAAAAACATCGTTTTTCATTAATAAAAATTGAATATATGATAATAGTAAACTAATTAATTCTTATAGAAATATAACTTATTTTTACTACTATCACATATGGGTTCGTCTAAACAAAAATGCATTTCTTCATGAATTTAAGTGTACTTTTTTTTATAGCCCGAAGACGGCGAAGCACCAATTTTCAACTATTATTCCGTAATTCGATTTAGAAAGGGGGGAGCGAGAGAGTTAAGTGTCCTTCCTCTCAATAGCCACACCATAAAAAAAGGATATTGACCAACTGTATACTCTGTCAATAAATTATAAACGAAATTCAGCATCTAAAAACTTTAAACTTAATGTTTTTAAAGCTATAAATATCTATAAATACTGTTATTATTAACTTTACGAAATGCAATATTGTGGTAAAGTTGATGTTATTTTAGAAAGTTCCGTTTTTCGAAATTGACTTTTATTCGTCGTCGTAGGTGTAATACACAATGTTTAAATAATATTAGGGAGCAAGGTCGTAAAACGTGCACGGAATTCGCGAGGCGGAAAAACGTGAAAACGTTGCTGCGGTTTTTCCAAACTGCTCTGTAAAATATTTTGAAAAAAAAGTTATATTTATTGTAGTGTTAAATATCAAAAACATAATAAAGAATGAAATAAATAAGAAGTTTAATATAGTATAAAATTTAAAAAATAACTGGATTTTGTAATGTGAAATATTTGTTTCTGTATTTTGATTCGAATTGATGAAATTATTAGTTTATTTCAGTTAATTAAAACAAATTATTTTTTTTAATTTTATCTCTTTTATTCAATTTGAACTTTTACATAACACACATTTATGAAAGTGCAATAATTTGGAATAAAATTTGACACTTTTTGATTGACTACTGTTAACGCACATTGAAGTAATTATTTATTTTTTTTTTCATAGAATATTTCGTAGTTTATTTATATATTGTTATTTAAGGTTATGGGAGGTTATGATAATTGAAGTCAAGTTAGGATTTTTTATATTATAGTTTGTCGAGGTTAAGTTTTCATCCATGATGAAATGTCATGATATGTCAAAAAAATGGTAACAAACGTCAAATGTCAACTACAGGTATCCCCCGACTTACGAACAAAATTCTAAAAGCTCTAACTTGTTACAAGGAGATATATAGTGATAAAAAAAATTAACTGTCCAAACAAAAATTGACAATTTCTTTAATATATAAAATATAATATATGTTTTGTTGCAATTGTTTCATTTGTCGTTTTTTTTATTAAATAATTGTGATGTCTACATTGAAAAGTATTTGTAAGTAAGTATTTTCTTTATTTTAATTAATTTTTCAAATTTATGCCGTCATTAATACAGAATTTAACATATATAAAAGTAAAAACCATGAGAAAGTATGGTAAGTAAGATAAGTAAATTTTTAAAATTCCCCCGACTTACGAACAAATTCATCTTACGAACATCACTTCGGAACGGAACTGTACCTGTACTTACGAAATGAGTTATAGAGGCTACTTTTCATTGAAGCCAATTTTTGATAAATTACTTGGTAAATGTTGCGTTGTAAGTAGCCAACTTCAATTCTAAGTTGACGGTCCATTTCCATCACTGTTTCTTCTACTGCGATCCGATGTTGTTCGTATGTGTCTGTGTGTGAATGTTCTGGATTCGGTGGATGGGGAAGGGCAAAGTTTTAGACACTTGGATGGTGGCAAATCTATAAGTTTTATTGTGTGAAGAGGGTAAAGGCTCTAACGTCCCTGGAGGAAGTGAAACTTTGGCCCGATGTATTTATTTCCAGACAGATAATATTAACTTTTGCGGCTAAATATTTGATTATTCGCGCCGGTCTCTCGCCCAACCCCACCCAACCACCTCATCCGCCCCCACCGGAACGCCAACTCGATCGCTGAATTCACCATGAGGCCAACATTAATAATGCGTGCCGCAAGAAATTCCCGCAAGTCGAGCTGTTCAAATAGGAATAATCATCTTACGCTACTGCTGCTGCTTCTGCGGCTCATGCCATTACATGTTTGCAGAATTAAACGAGTGTAAAATATACAATTAAGCCAACCGCCATCGCTACTTCCGGCTCATAATATCCGCAAAGTGTGTGCACTACGACTATGAACGTTCCATGTTTATATAATACCAGAATTTCGAGAAATTCAAAAATCCCACCGAACTTACTGTTATTATACGACAAAGATTCTCTCGCATCCAAACCGTATGCGAGTAATAATACATTTAATTTTGTTATTCCTCTTGTTATCATATTTGCATCTCTCTTCCTACATCCTCCGATATGTAACATAATATATAATTGGCTCGTTAACGTAAATACAAATTTCCCTTTATACCTCGAAACGAACACATAAAGAAAAAACATATCTGTGTACCATACAAATTACGTAATTAAACTAAACGACAGACTGTCAGTCTCAAAATTTACTTGAATGCACTATTATTAATAACAAGGCATTCTTCTACAAGAAAACATCACTAAAGTAAAAAAAAATCGATAATTTCAAATAAAAATAATATTTAGCATCTTTATTAGTAAATTTTCCCGTTACTTTGGGAAAATTTACTTTTACATTTTTTACACAACTTTGAACTGAATAAAAAAAATTCTCAGATGAAAAGAGAATTTTTAATAAATTTCAATCTTTTTTGAAGAATATAAAGAAAAATATTAGAAATAAGTTAAATTAATATAAGAAGCAGAAAGACATAGGTTCATAAAACTTAGCCAATCAAAATGTGTAAATAAAATAAATAAATCTACATTTAAATATTAAATTGACGAAGTGTAGTTTACTCAAATAGCTAGTAAATCTTTTTTTTTAATAAGATTATTTTAAATCATTTCAAAATACAAATAATTCACAAATCGATTGATTTTCAAATTAATAAATTGTAATTAAAAAATATGAAAATTGATGTAAATAAACACATTTTTTTAATTATTATTTGTATTTTCTAATTGAGACTTGTATTAATAATATTTATTTAAAAAAAAAATATGTAAAACCTTTTCTAATGTTAGCCTTGAAATTTACTTTATAAGATCATCAAGAAACACGTAAAGGTTTGAACCTAGTCACGAAGTGATGTAAGAATCCATAAATAACAGCAGTGGGCGTCAACGTTTAAATATTTGCGTTTCAAATTTACACTAATCTTATATAATAAGATGCACTTTCTTTAAAAAAAATGCAGTTTCTAGTAACATTTATCAATCTTAATTAGTAAAGAATTTTTAATTAAACCATTCAAATTTATGCTGAATCTCTTTAGATTTCGATGCATTTCGCTTTTATATGCGGTTTAATTACATTTTTTTTTCTTCTTTCTTCATATTTGATCTCCCATTATATTTCTACCCGGATATTGCATTATTCAAAACAGGCAGAAAGCAGTGGAGTGAGGCATATATATACAAGCGGAGAAGAAAAAAAAAAGAATATGAAGGAACAAGAGTAAATAATAATACGTAGAAGGAAATATAATTCGATTTCCATAAAGGCGTGCATCCATAATTCATGGAACGACGGAGCTCCGGTGTTGTTAGTGCATCTACGACCATTTCGCTCGCATTAACATGAATTAATTGATTTGGAAGTCAAATTCGGAGTGAAATCGATGAGGCCTGAAAACTGTGGAACCTTGAATAGATTCCGCAATGCACGAGCATCAAACTAAAACACACGCACACACACAAACAACGCGATGATTAAAACCGAAATTTTTATTTATCCATTTATATTAGAAGATTACACAAACATCAATTTCAATTTCGATCCTTAATTAACAAATAAATTAGTTTCTTTTTTACTTCTGTTGCCTCGATTAAACATTAATCATTAGTCGCGTTTTCTTAAATAGATTTTTTTGTTGTTGTTTGTTCTTACATCAGAACCACTGTTTAACTTACACACATATATAATATTATTTATTATTAAGCTCTTCCCGCAATCTTGGTAACTTTAATTAATTTTGATTAGACTTTCACTTCATTGCTAATTTAATCACTGTCCTTCACTTCCTTCACAATAGTGATTACATCATCTTCCGAAGCCTTCTTTCCATAATACTTCTTTTTGTTAGCTACAAAAGAAAAAACAAAATCACAACAAACCTTAACATCCAAAATTAAGCGTGTACAAACCGGAAGTGATTAATCCAATTGGTCCAACCGGTTTGCTGTGCTTCTTCTCGCTTCCAGAAAAAGTCAGCCCAAATCCAACTTGGTAGATTGGTAACGGGATGACTGTTGAAGAAACCGGAACCAAATCTGTGTTTCCAAAACAACTGTTATTCAGATCTTTGTAAACGTTTGCACTGATTATACTTTACCGGCTTCCAAGACTTGATGCTCGTTCAGTTTGTAGGAAGTCGGATGGGTTTGGGACACCGAAAAGAGCGTCAGAAGCGTAACAATTAGAAGGAACTTCATTTTTTTTTTGTTGTCACCTGTTTCTCAGTTGCGATTCAATCTACGAATGATCGAATCGTTTTTGCATTGGTGGAAGGGAAAAGCGGCGAGAAAAAAACGCATAGCAGGGGAACAATTGAATGGCTAATGATGCATTCGCACAGGTGAATTCTTGTGGTTGGAAGAGCCTTGGTTCGTTTCGATGGAATTTATGGACGACTGCGGTGACTTTATAAAGAGAGAAAGTCGGAATTTGTAAAAGGCAAAGGTGGCAGGAGGCGGCGGCGCTAATAAAACTCGATTTTTATATTAAGAGAGAACAGAGAAAAGAAAATGATACGACGAGAGGATTTATGGTCCAGCACAACTTTCTAGATTATGTTTTCAATAAAATTAGGTATGAATTATTTAATGTTTACATAAAAAAACGATGAATTGCATAGTAAATATGCAAATTTATGCTAAAACTATAGGAAATAACAGGTATAAACATGCATAATTAGAATTGTATTTATAGTTTTTCTAGTCATCCACTCACAAATGTGATGCAATAACCAAGTCGTATTTAAAATGTTTAATACTACAATCTTTACACCTTGTATTACTCAATAAGAACAAGTAGCAGAGCGACCATCAAATAACCGAATTAAAGCTAAATATATAGGCTTCAAAATGAGTATAAAGTATAGTTGTGGCCTTTATAGTTTAAATGTAATAAGCTTTCAAAGTTGGAAAAACTATTTTTTAAACATCGAAGAAACATTGTCTTTACTACTTGATATATTTATAAATTACAGCGATTATTGAGCAAACTTTTTAAATATAAATATTTAGGCTTTAAAAATAATTATTAATTATTAATTATTCAATAAGTAAGAATAGCAGAGCGACCATTGAATAATCCAATTAATGCTAAATATATAGGCTTCAAAATGAGTATAAAGTATAGTTGTGGCCTTCATAGTTTAAATGTAATAAGCCTTTAAAGTTGGAAAAACTATTTTTTGAACATCGAAGAAACATTGTCTTTACTACTTGATATATTTACAAATTACAGCGATTATTGAGCAAATTTTTTAAATATAAATATTTAGGCTTTAAAAATACTATAGATTCAAATAATTGACATTTATAGCTTTCTTACGACAGGTTGTCAAACTATAAAAAAACTATTTTTTTTATCCTTGAAAATGAAGTATCTTTACATTTTGAAGTATTACTCAATAAGTATGAATAGCAGAGCGACCATTGAATAACCGAATAAAAGCTAAATATATAGGCTTCAACATGAGTGTAAATTATATTTATGGCCTTCATAGTTTAAGTGTAATAAGCTTTCAAAGTTGGAAAAACTATTTTTAAAACATAAAAAAAAACATTGTTTTGACTACTTGATAAATTTACAAACTACAGCGATTATTGAGCAAACGTTTTTAATATAAATATATAAGCTTTAAAAATACTATAGATTGAAATAATTGACATTTGAAGGCTGTCCAACCTTAAAAAAAAGTATTGATTTTTCCTTTAAAATTTGATATCTTTACGTTTTGAAGTAATACTTAATTGAATAATACAATTAAAGCTAAATATAAAGACATTAAAGACATATTGTGACATTGATGGTTTAAATGCATTGAAGAATTATTTTTTTAACCTTAAAGAAGAAGTATCTCTACATTTAGTCATATTACTTGATAACTATACACATCTCATCTATCATTGAATAATTGACTTAAATAGAAATGTGTAGGCTTCAAAATGAGTATATATAAAGTTTTGTGTGATCTGTCAAAAAAATCGACAATAATTAAATACAAAGTTGCTTATGAGAATCAATTCGTATAATTAACATATAATAGAAAACCATATAATTTTCTTCAAGGTGAAAGTTGTTGAAGATGCTTTGATAAATACATTATTTTCTTGCAAGTACATAAATAAATTTCCATCTCCGCAGAAATCTATTGTAGTCGCAAATTCGTGCGTCTCGTTGCGGTTTCTCTCTATTGCCGTTCCCTTTTCTTTGCTTCGTTTTCTTCTCCTCCTTGTATTCATTTAGAGGCCGTTAGAGAACAAAGTGTGTCATTCATTTGTAGCGTTTCTTCTGAGTCGAATGTCGTTTGCGTGGGAGTAGCTCAAGCAAATTCCACACCTTAACAGGTGCTCCGAACAACTTCAGACTACTGCACGATCGTACGCAAATCACGTCTGGGATCTTATGTTTATTTATGCTGTGCGTTTAATTTATTACCAGTTTAGGCCGAGCTCGAATCAGTGCTCTCTTTTTTTTTATAACAGCAGCAGCATTAAATATTGAGAAAACCAGGTGCACTTAAATACAAAATTTCCATATTACGCTAACACATTTTTTTTTCTTGTTATTTCTTTTTAAATTGCATTTCAATTCTTAATTAGTTTAATTGTTTCGAATGCCGAAACGTGGCATTATGTAACTTGTTCGTAATTACATGCATTAAGCGGTATTGGTCAAAATACGTTATACCGCAAACTTCGAACAATAATAATTTTCCGGTGGCAAGTCTATAAATTATTTACTGTTTCTGAACTGCACCGCGTTTATTGATTTAATAGTTCCACTCTGTTTTTCATTAATTATTCAATATTCAGTCATTGTCCTAGTAAAATTAGATCACATACGAGAAAAGTCAATGTCCTAACAAAATAAAACTATAAAAGCTAGTATTATATCAAGAAAATATATAAAACTAAATTTAAATCTTACTCGATTTTCATCAATTATTAAAAAATCACTCATTGTACAAATACAAAAACGGAGTAAAAATTTACTATGAAAGATGAATGAAAATGAAAGTATTCTATTATAAATTTAATAAAATAATTTAATTTTAATTAGATTTTCATTTATTTACTGCAAAAAGAAATCAAATATAAAAATCTACTTTCAAACGTGAATGAGTCAAAAATGTAATGTAAAAAAATTGGATTTACACTGGATTTTCATCAATTATTCAAGATGCATTAATTTTCCTCGTGAAAACAGACCAAATATAAGAACATAATTAAATTTTGAATTTTCACTTGATTTTTATCAATTTTTGCAAAATCAGTAATTTTTCTTTCTAAAAGGCAACCACATTCAAGAACGTTTTAAAAATCTGCTAAAAAAAGGAATTGACATAAAATTATTCCATTTTATCAAAAATAATTTAAAGAAAAATGAAATTTTCACTCAATTTTCTGCAATTATACAAAATTCAGTAAGTTTTTCTTCTAAAAGGAGACCAAATTGGATTTTAACTGTTTTTTATCAATTATTCAAAATGAGTTAATTTTCCTTTTGAAAACATACCAAATATAAGAACATAGTTCAATTCTACTATGAGAGATGAATGTTCTAGAAATTATTATATTTTAACAAAATCTAAATAAAGAAAAATTGAATTTTCATTCTATTTTAATCAATTATTGAATATTCAGTAATTTTTCTTTCTAAAAGGAAACCACATTTAAGAACGTTTTAAAAATCTACTGTAAAAGATGAATGAATACAAAATTATTATATTTTATCAAAAGAAATTAAAAGAAAAAAAATCACTCAATTTTCATCAATTATACAAAATTCAGTAATTTTTCTTTCTAAAAGGAAACCAGATTTAAGAACGTTTTAAAAATCTACTGTAAAAGATGAATGAAAACAAAATTATTCTATTATATCAAAACAAATTTAAATAAAAAATGAAATTTTCACTCAATTTTCATCAATTATTATAAATTCAGTAATTTTTCATTCTAAAAGGAGACCAAATTGAATTTTAACTGGATTTTTATCAATTATTCAAAATGTATCAATTTTCCTCGTGAAAACAAACCAATTATAATAACATAGTTAAATTCTACAATGAAAGATGAATGTTGATCAAATTATTATATTTTAATAAAATCTCAATAAAGAAAAATTGAATTTTCACTCAATTTTCATCAATTATTATAAATTCAGTAATTTTTCATTCTAAAAGGAGACCAAATTGGATTTTAACTGGATTTTTATCAATTGTTCTAAATGTATCAATTTTTCTGGTGAAAACAGATAAAATATAAGAACATCATTAAATTCTACTATTAAAGATGAAAATGTACAAGAAATTATTATATTTTAACAAAATTTAAATAAAGAAAAAGTAAATTTACACTCGATTTTCAACAATTATTCCAAAATCCAGTATTTTTTTCATCTGAAACGAGATCAAAATAGGATTTTAATATGATTTTTTTTTATCAATTATTCAAAATGCATTATTACAGAGTTTAAATCAGAAAAGTTGTATTAACTTATTATTAAATAAAACTTGATTAGAATTCATATTTCTATCAAATATCTAATATTGATTAATATTGAATTCATTTTTATACATTTCTATTATTGAAAATGCACGTAAACAGAAATTGTATACGTGAATGAATGAAACAAAAAGTAGAATGCTGACTGGATTGTAGAATCCTCGATGCGAGCTACAATTGGACTAATATGAATTGGTAATGCTGGAAGTATCGTAGCGTAGGCGAGGGTTGCAACCCTTGCATTGTATACGCAGTATTTGATTGTATTACTGGCTGATGGGATTACGGTAATGCTCTAATTCAAAAGAAATAATATTACAATTACTCGAAATCACATTACAGTACTCGGACATGTGTCCAATTCTAACTCAAATACTAATACACACACAATACACTTCGCAAATTAATAAATTGCGGTTCTTTCTCCATCAAATTGCATTCTCCATACCGACAAAACAAATAACCAATTTACCAATTATGAAAAACTACTTAAACATATGGAATAATGTGTTCAGATTTGTGATGTTTGTTCTAATTTACCAACAAAATTGAAACATAAATCTCAATCTCAAAATATTCCTTTATTTAAATAAATATAGTTTTGAACATATAAGTAAACATTTTAATTGCACTATAATTTACAATGAAAATGACAATTTTCTTAAATTTTGTGAAAATATATTGTATTTTTTAAAGTATACAAAATCTATATGTAAACTTAATCTAAAATACATATGTTTCATCATTTCTATAAAAATTCTT